ACGATATCTTTTTGTAATTGCAGGGTGCAATTTGTGATTTCTGTGAAGCTTGGGTGTGTCATGGGAGGAAGTGTCTCAGCACACATGCGTGTATCTGCCCTCTTGCAGATGCAGAATGTATTGAGTGCGAAAGAAGTGTCTGGGATCATGGTAGGTTGCTTACATTTGACAAATAACCCCCCCAGTTGCTTAAATTATGCTACCTATGTCCTTAACAATATTTTTCCTCTTCACTAATACATTGTGTCTAGCCAAAGCTAGACAATTCTCCCCTGTTTAAAAATAGGCCATATGCAAGGGGGAATGATGTGCTCAACTCAGGGATGTGTTTATAATCTAGAGTATTGACTGTCCTATCATCCGAGTGCTTCACATAATCAAGCACGTCAGAGAGTCAACACTATTTTCTGCCATTCTCACTCCTTTCATCTGCACTAGTACAGGTACCTGGATTCCCATTTGCTTGGCAAACTATGCTGATCTCCGTTTGTGCAATTCCTTTAAAATAGGTATTTCAGTGTACATCAGAGGTTAGAGGTTGCAAGGGAAGAAAATGGTGGATGAGAAAGGATCTGATCCAATTAAAAAATGCTCAGGGCCATAGTTGAATTAAAACAAAGATCACTACCAGAAGTGATACTTGCTTTAAACTTACGTTGTCTTGGATTGCTAGGATACACAATATTTTTCAGTGTAATAATGGATAGCAGTGTCTAGCCTGGGACTTTCTGTTGAAGCATTTTGTGGTAGAAGGGAGAACTGGTCTTTAAAGCTACATAGAACTACCTGAATTGTTTGTGAAGGAGAATTTGATGCCTATGCCTGTTGCTGATTATTTTGCCTTGATAAATCTTATAGGAGGCAGAATATTCGCCTGTTCTTTTTGCCACAATTTCCTCTGTGAAGATGATCAGTTTGAACATCAAGCCAGCTGCCAGGTTTTGGAAGCAGAGACGTTTAAATGTAAGTTAGCCATTCACAGTCCCTTTTACCAGAGCTAAACAGACTCAGATTTCTTCCTCTAGGCCCTAGGATACTCTGCAGTGCCTTTTCCAAGTAGCCCACTTTTACCGTCACTGGAAGAAAACATTCCGTTTCTTATGTGCTTGCTCTTGATAGGCTGTTAGCTAAACTAGACCTTGTCTCCAACTTTCCTCAGTGCTGAGTTGTTTCCCTGCCTGGCTTATATAGTTCTCCCATGGGAAGCTGCCTCTGCTGGAGCCAGCACTTTCCAAAGCAGCACTGTTGGCAGGGGACAGGACTACAGCTGAGATGCTGTTGCTGCCTTTTAGATTCCTGAAAGCTCTGCAGTTGGGAAGCAGCCTTTTTTCCCCCTACTCTTCTCACCTCTGATAAGCTACTTGTGGATGTTTTTTTCTCTTGGAAACCAGTTGCCTTAAATATTAATGGCCTGTATGTTGATGAAGGGTTAACACTTGTTGATTTTGCAGAAGCAGCAAGTCCTGGGGAAGGCCATGACTCATGAGGCAGTAACCACCTGGTTTACTGAGACAGGAAGGGTGAGCTTGGAAGTGACAGAAATAGTGTTCATCCAAAGCATGAACTCAGTGCCAGTTTTTTTTCCCCACAGATTTCAATGGGCCATGGGCACGTAGCAACTCATTATATGCATCGAATGGCAATGCAGCCCACTGTTAGTGAGCAAAGAACAGGTAGCTGAAGCTTCTTATGTCCTGTTCCACTTTAATTTTTGTGTGTCCAAAACAAAAACTGAAACCGTTATTTTTAAGATGACAAGATTGCCATATCTGACTTGGCTAGTCCACTACCCATCTCTCTGAAAGACCTGTTAAAGGGAAGTTTAAAAACACCACCCAAGAGTAAACATGTTTGAAAAAACTAGCCTATTGTAGAAGTATTTCCTTCCTACCCCCTGTTAGTTAATATTTAGTTTATCCTAGAAGACAAGAGTTTATCCTTCCAAAACTTGTATGCATGTATTCTATTATAACATTTTCAATCCCCGTAGTCATACACGATAAAAAGCGCCTTGAATTTCTATCTTCTTCAGAATTGGCTAATCTCTTGGCTTAAATGATTTCTCCCAATTCAGAATACTAGTGATTTTTATCTTATAATCTATATCTTTGGAAATCTCTTATATCCTTTTTATCGCCTATCCTTTTTTCCTAGCCAACTGTTTTCTAAGCCTTGATTAGCTTCTTTTGATGTATTCTGCCAGAATGTCTTCCTGTATAGCAATATTGAAGCAGCAACAGCTGTTCCACAAGAACGTTTTTTTCCACTGATTGTTGGAAGCTTTTGATTCACAGATGTGATGTCATACCCTGAATGAAGAAATTGCTTTCTGAGGGTTTTCACTACATTCAGTGTTTTTTGGCACTGTGCAATCCCAGTATAGGGGCAAGACTTTTGTCAGCATGTGTGAGATGAGATTATAAAACCTGAACCTTTATATAACACATTAAGTTAAATATGATCAGAAGTTGTAGCCTACATCGCAGTCTAGCTGTGAAAAAAAGTTCTGTTGCATTCCATCACTGAGGGAAGTTTTTAAAGTGCAGATTACTCCAGAAATGTCTGAACATATGCATTAACATTTCCAGTCCTATCTTTAAACGTATCACAGATCTGCAGCTTCCATGGCTGCCCTGCTCATATGGAAAACTCATGATATTTATTACTGCAGATTGAAAAGCTTTGTTACCATAGGGTAAGGCAAAGTGGAGAAAACGAGTACTTTTGAAAAGACTCGGGACAAATGTGTATTATTGCCTCTCAAGGACCAACTATCCAGCCAGCTTCATATAGCTATAAATTCCTGTGTGGCTGCTTTTACTGTACTCCCTCTAGTGGAGTAAAGAGATCAATTTGAAGCTTGAAGACAGGTTAGATTTTAAGAGAGCACTGATTCTACTCCTCACAACTTAACATGCCAGCTGTAGTTCTTTAACAGAGTTGGATAGGTTTTCATATAAAGTTGTGTGCCATAAAGTACGTTTTCTGAAGTATACAGAACAAAACTTCTCCAGGTTTGGCATTTGAAAGTTTAAGTGTTCTTAGATCCCCTTTAAATAAAGGTATTGAAGACTGCCATGACATTGTTTAAAGTGACTGTAAAATGCTCCTCCTTTTGGCGTTACAAGGGAAGAAAAAAAAAAAGGATGAAGTCATTTAATACCAGACTGGCTCTGAATCCTCCGTTTGTTAAAAATTGGAAGCAAACTTTTTTCTCCTCTCCAACTTGTACTTTATGTAAAATTTATTGCAAGGAGGCTTAGACTTGAAAGTCTGGTAAAATAGAATCAAAACACTGCTCTATGGTAAAATAACTAATGCATGTTTCCGAAGTGCATACCTCAAAAATATTTCCAAAGTAAGCATGTCAAAATACTACATTATTACATACTCCTACAAGGTGTAGAAACATCACAGCTCTGCAGTTTTCAACTACTGAATTTTATATATGGATTTTCTCCAACAGGTGTTTCCTGTAACAGACTTGGGCAGCATTCATGCCTGCGTTGTAAGGTAAAGAGCAAAGATAGTTGCAAGTAGCTGTAGTTTTGGACTTGTTCTCCTTAGCCTCCCATGCTGGTACCAAGCCTTGTCATGTCTTCTTCCACGTTCATACTTTTTGTTTTGGTTTCTGAAGCTTGGGGGTAGACTTACGGGGAACGGAAGGGCTATCTCTGTTTGCCTCTTACCAAAAGCCAGTATTATGCATCCTCATGCAAGGTGAAGTAATCTCGACTTTGTTCAGCCCTCACATTTAAATTGGGGCTGTACCATGTTTTGACCTTTTCAAAAGACCAAATCTCTGTTTTTGGACAGAAATCGAAGGCTTTGGAATGTTTTCTGATCCAACATAGAATTAAGACATTTTTAAAAGTTTGGAAAAAAAAAAAACCGTCAAATGATGATCTGACTAGAAAGCATTGCAATCTGGATCCAAATAGTCTTCTCCACAGCCAATTCATTTTCACACATGCACAGGCTGATTTGTTGTAATCAGACTTTTTTTGAAACACATTCAGAAGTTTTGTGTAAAAAAATTCTACCTGCTTCACCATGAGCAGCCCCCAGGTTAACAGCAGACAGTGAACTGCCTGCTGTTATTCCTCTTGCCACGTTTCCCGGTTCTTCAGTCCTTCATTTCATGGAGCAGTCTCCATGACATCAATTTCATACTCAGATTGCTCCTTTCTCCAGATCTCTTCGCTGGTACCTTGGTACTCAGCACATGAAATTTCAGTCTCTAATTCTTGCCTTCAGGTCACTGCATAATTATATGCTTTAAGCTTGCCGATGTAAACCAAAATTTCGCAAGGCCCTTGTGGCCAGCAATATAACCCAGTCCTTGAATATGTTACTTCCCCTGCCTGTTTATCAGCACATTATGCAGCCTCTTCCCCAGGTAACCATGAAACTGTAGTCAACACAGAAGCAGCTACTCTGTGCATAATGTGCAGACTCCAGTTCCACTGCAGATAGAGCTCATTAAATTTTAATCTCAACCAGAAAATCCTATTGCTGTTAGATTTTTTCCTGCTTCTTGCTGAAGAGTATTCTGCTATGATTACAAACGTTTAGCCGTTTCATTCTCCTTTCACCCCACAGGCTTGTTTTTGTGATGATCATGTGCGAAGTAAGGTTTTTAAGCAAGAAAAGGGAAAAGAGCCTCCCTGCCCTAAATGCGGACATGAAACTCAGCAGACAAAGGATCTGAGCATGTCAAGTAAGGCTGCTTCTCTAGCTAGCAAGTGAATTTCATAGGAGTCTCTGGGTTTTAAACGGCATCATGCCAGCATACCACTGATGACTGCTTTTCTGCATGGGAACATTGAGTAAATTACTAATTTATTACTATTACGTACTGTTACTACTTTCAGTTGTTTTGCAAAGCTTTGCTGCATTTATTTTGGGAGAGTGTCTGTCAGTTTTAGAACTGAGCAGACTTTTTTAATCATTAGTTGATACTGACAGTGAAAGTTTGGTTTAGTTTCAGATTTTAGTTATTTAAGAACTGCATGCAGTCACCATTTATGCCTCTATTTCACCTACAAGAGGCAGGCTAATGAATCTATGAGCGTCATTTGATGACATCCATAGTCTACCTATTAATCACTCTAATAAATCAGAATATGTACAACATCTACACAGCATGTCCAATTATAGATTTGCTTAGAGTAACACAGGTACATCCTAAAGCCAAAAACCATGCTCTAGGGGCAGTTATTGTTTATACAAGCATGGCTGCATGGGGAGACAGAGCATGGTAGAAAGGTTCTGTTACAGCAAGGATTAAATCTGAAAGCGTTGGGTTCAGAAAAAGTCCATCATTGTATGCTCTTTGAGCAGTGAAAGAGGATGGAAGCGTCAGATGCTTTGTTCAGATTACTGTTGAGGGTGAGGACATGATGGTTTTCCTCTGCCTGCAGCGCGCTCTTTGAAGTTTGGCCGCCAGACTGGAAGTGAAGAGGCAGATGGAGCTTCTGGTTATGATGCCTACTGGAAGAACCTCTCCACCAGCAAGGCTGGAGATGCAGGTGATCGTGAGGACGAATATGATGAGTATGAAGCAGAGGATGATGATGAAGATGATGATGAGGGAGGGAAAGATTCTGATACAGAGACAACAGATGTATTCAGCAGTTTGAATTTAGGAAGAACCTATGCTAGTGGGTATGCACATTTTGAAGAACCTGAAGATTAAGCTTAATCTGCTGGGAGCTAAAAACGTTTGGAAGGAGTTGAGTATATGCTTCATTTATGATGTGTGTACATGCCAGTAGAATAGCTCTATTGGGTACTTACATATCAAGCTTGAAAATAAAGAGTGTGGGACTTGTATAGTAACTCCAAGTGAGACTTAATGGTATAAAAAGAGGAGCTGGGGGAGAAAATAGGGGAATGGCTTTATTCCTCTAAGCAACTGAAGCGTTGTCGTCCCTGAGTTACCGACTGTAACAGTTCAAAGCTTTTCTCCCCCATCAGTTCCCTCCCACAGGAATATGGGAGGGCAGGACAATTTGTTTCCATTTGCTCATCACAAATTAAGTTATTTGTACGATAATTTCGTTACCTGATTTCATAAACCTAATGTAGTGGTGGGTTGGTGACTTAATTTTTTTGGTCTGCACAATAAAAGTCAACTGCATTCTCTTGAATTTTCATAAATATTGATTCCTCCTGAATAGTTGGCAAACATTATCATACACAATGTGTAAATGAACATTAAAGTAACTTCTTTGTTTGTATGGGCAAGGCAGATCAATATAGTTCTCCATATACTTGGAACATTACCTTTCCAGCATTTTTTAAGTATTACATATTAATCACTGGGGCTATGTGCAATCGTTACAAGTGTATGCTAGATACATCAACATTTTTATTGTGATAACACTTTTTATCCTTTCTGCCACTAAAAAGTATCAGACAGTTTCTCTTTAGATTAAAAGTAGACCGGTGTCTTCTGTGCCTAGCCTTCAGCTCTTTTCCTTGCACACAGTACAAAGAAATCAAAAATTCTATAAGAAACAAGGCCTGTGTGTGAATAAGTAAGATGAGAAAACACAAAGGTATGCCAAGTTCAAATACCATCCTGCACAAATGCACTGGAACAAGACAAGTCATTGGCAGACCTGAGCTGAGGAAGTGGCATTTGCAGAAGTATGATACTCATTTGAAAATCAGCATATATTAATTACCAATCCACAAATGCAGTTGATAGCATTTAGCTTTCTCCTGTGGAGAAACGTTGAGAGGATTGTGACATTAGCAGTGACACAGCTAGATACCATGGCAGCCACCTCAAGCATTACTCGAGTTCAGCAGCTGGTAGAACACAGACTTTCTAAATGCCATGCTTAAGTTCAGGAATGTTATTTCTTATTATCTGCCAGAAATATCTGAACTGGTTATAGAATGGTCTGCTTTTGTGGTGCTCTCTCTGTTGTTTCTTAACAGCTAAAGGTTATATGTTGGCAGAGCATATCCTATTGAGAATAACTTTTGACAATACTAGGATTGACAAACGAATATTTCTTAACAAAACAGGACTGAGGAGCCTGGCTTTCATATTTCCCTCCTAAATGCCTCTCATACCAAATCAGTAGGAGACATATGAGCCGGAACGCATCCAAGGTAGAAACAAATTGACACACAGTGCAACTTGATTATGACAGCTGCAAGCAAGAAAGCGTACTGGAGAGGTTGACAGCCTGAAGTAAGCATTTCAAGTGTTCATCTTCAGAGCCAGAGAGGAAGCCAGTTAATGCAACATCTGAAAGCCAAGTCCCCTTTGAAAAATGAAATGCTAAGGCCACCTAAGACCTACCCACCTTAAATTATGTACCTGCTAGGTACCTTGATTAGCCTTTTGCATAACCATACTTGAAGTGAGAAAAATAGGATGCCAGCCACTGCGACAGTGATTATTTATTTGTGAAACTGGCACCTGTGGTTGAATTTGTGCTCCATTTCATGTGGTCCAGAAACGTCTACGGTTGAGTCCACCTGCCAGCGGTCAATTCCAGGAGAAAAAAAAAAAAAAAAAAAAAAGAGTTCTTATCTTGTTTGGTTTCAAATGCAAAACAGTTATACACTGCTGCACAATCGTATAGAACTGAAGAAGGAATGTGCATTTTTTTGGACTATACTTAAAATTACAGTTGCTTTTGCATCATTTGCTAATATGATTTTATTACTTCACAGTACAAAATTCCCCGTTAAGGTTCTTGGCTCGCGAATCAGATCTTTTTCATATGAGAGCTGCTGCTATCACTAGCTGTGCCAAGGGCTGCTGACATAACAGAATTAATCATCATAATCAGAGTAAAGAATTATTCATTTTCTCATTGAAATGTCCTTGTGCTGATGATTTAGTTGCTAGATCAATCCTCAGAGCTAACGCATGTTCCTGTCATACTGTGGTTAGAAGGCCACAGCACTGGAAGTGCTGCCTACAACAGATGCTCAGGATACCTGTTTAGTTTAGCAAGGTCACTACGCAATGGACAGAGGCATTTATTCTTTGTACTGCTGTTCATACCACTGAAAAGCCTAGCACTAACCAGAAAAACAGGGCCAGGGTATTAGACGTGCAGGCGGCTGGCCTTCAAGGGGTCAAAACAAGCAAATATAAGCTGCTTTGAAGTAATCTGGTGTATTTGAAATAGAATAGACAAACATGATTGTATTATTTTACTAATGGAGCTTGTAAATTTGCAAGAGGACAGGCACAGTTCAGTGCTAAAGGTTGCACTCTCATATCCTTGTCTGGTTATTTAGTAAAGTCAAAAGCATGTGGTCTGCTGGGGATATGTACTCAGTGTTTGCTGTCATAGAAAGTGCAGCATTTTATTTGTCCTAGGATAAACTGCAGGGACAGGATGAAGCTGAGAACAACAACATATACCCTAGGGTTTTTTCTTTTTTTAAATAAAGGCCTAGGACAAGCTTTCCAGCTTGTCTGCTCTGGCTTTCTGGATTCCTATTACTTTGTCTTTAAGTATGTTGGAGAAACATTAGTAGGGCACAGATGGATCTGTAGGCCATCCATACACCTGAAATCAGTGCTTCATTTACTGACTGTTCTTCTGAACTCAACAGCCAAGTTAGCTGTTGTTAAATCTGAAAGTGAGGACACAGTGGCTGTGATGGCATATATTTTACAGATCGCAGAAGTTTGAGCTAATCAGATGCCACCACAATCCACCGAGTGCTTTCAGGTACCTGCAGAGCTGCTTCTGTCAAAGGCGGATGATTTTAAGGGACTCAAGCCTAGAACTTAGTGCCTAGGCACAAAAAAAGCATGACTGCAGGTTTTTAAGATTAAAGTAGTGCAGAGTGCACTTCTGTATGGAGCAGGAGTCAGATAAACATAATTGTGAGATAAGCTAGGTGTGTAACTTTGGCTTTTCCTTTGAAAATCCTGTCCCTGACTAAAGGAAATTCTAAGCTGAGAGGAAAAAAGGCAGTTTTTAGCATGTAATCAGGAATATTTGAATTACAAGTAGTACATAATAGAACCAAAATCTTCATAAAATTTTATGCTGTCTGGTTTTCTCTCCTTCGTTCATGGCCATTTAGACCAAGCCTAAGTAGGGTTTGATTTAAAACCTCAGTAATATTTATCATGCCTGTGGACTCTAAAAAGAGCAGCTCTCACTACCTCTGTAAACTCTTTTCTGGCATTGGAGATGGTTATCATGGTGACAGCACCTGCTCATTATGAATTCATGCAGTGCTTACAAGGAGTTAATGCATTTCCATTTGTATTCCAGTGTGGTTTAGCACCAGTGACTGGGAGTCATTTGATCAATCCTATTGCAGGGTTGCTGTTTTTATTCCCAGCAAGTTAACGTGAAGATCATTATAATGAACTGAACAGTTTCAATTGCCAGTTGATCAGATAGGAGCATTTGTGTCACAGAGAACCAGGAACAAGCTTCAAAAGTTCTTGGAATTGTATTTGTTCAGGCAGGAATCATATTAGCATGTGTTACAACACATTATATGCATCTATCTGGGTTTTAATCCTATCTCCAGGGGAACCAATGACAAAACTCCCATTTATCCTAGTGGGAGCAATTTAAAAGTCTTTAGTATCTGCAGTTCATCTTAAATTGTCAAGAGGCGATATAGTACAAAACTCAAGGATAAACCTAAATGGGGAAGCTTAACATGCCCTTAATGTGCTATCACTACCATAAAAAAAGTATTAGTTCCAAATTTCAACTGTTCTGGTACAAAGTGTTTTAAAGACTGACAGAGGAAGCTGTTTCAAATAGGAACAGAAAAGATTCTGCAAACCATCATCTTTAAAACGTGGAAATTTAAATATTGGTCTTTTGAAAGTCTACATGTAGTCTACAAATACTTGCTAAAAGCTCAAAGCAATTAGAACCTGGACACATTTTATCCTCTCTGCTTTGTAGGTACATAATAGAAAACACAGTAATGGACAAAAATCAGACCGAGTGAACCAGTTGGCAATAGCCTTCTGCAGCTTGGACTCTCCATCTCCTACCCCTGGAACTCCAGAACAAGCCTACTGTAACTAATGGCACTTCCTAATTAAGATCAAATGTACTGTCATTAGCTGCCAGAAATTTGCAGTTTGAAGCAGGGCATAATTTTACCTTTTACCTTCCATAGCCAGAATAGACAAAAAAATTAGCAAGACAATTTCACAGTCACGAGAATCATTCCGTGTGTTTAATCAAACAATGGGCTCCCAAACCTGCGCTTTGTCTTCCCCCAGTTATTTCCTTGATTAGATACCTGTGCAATATGGGTGACCCCCCCCCCAACATTTTAGCTTCTCACCAAATTCAGTTACCATTAAAAAGACAGCTTTGGTGTTACTTTGTAACCATCCAGTTTCTGAGCAGCAGACTGAATGGCTTTTGAAAGGGAAGAGAGAGTTAACTGGGAAGCATGAGAAAGCATTTTTTAGCTACCTGTGCTGCTACTCTTCTCTAACACTAAAGCATACCAGGATGTTTGCTGCATTCTTTCTAACCCCTTTTTTGAAGCCCTGCGGTTGTTCTTCCAGCGTTCCCCAAGCATAACAATAAATGGAAGTTTCACTTAGTTTTCTTCTCAGACAAGAAGTACTAAGTGCCTACAGGGCCTAAGTACTGTTTCAACTTCATCTTGATGTTACATGACATCTGCTGTAGGTTTGCAGATTGATTTGCACATTACATGACCACTGAGTAAGCTTTATTTTAATTTTTTATTAGGAAGTTAGCATGTCAACAAACACCCACAATTTCTTTAACAGGTTATAGGAGCATTTTACTGCTAGAGTTGCCAGCAGCTCTGCCTGCTATTTTATTTTTGGCATAGAGAAAGAGGGCAATTCTTTTGAAAGCAAATCACTGTTAGTCAAGCACTTAACCCCTGGGCTGCCTGCAGTCTGATTTAAATTCAGCATCTTTTTTTGATGGCAAAAACGAGGACGGGCCCCCTTGAGATTTTCCCAACAGCATGGAGATGTGCAGGGACCTCACCCTGGAGGTCAGCACCAATTCAAAATATTGTACCCTCCTGCCAGTTCAAGGCGGTAACAACCAAAACGTGACCTTCCACTAGACCACTCCGGAGGCAGGTAGAACCCAAATGCTGCAGCCTACATATTTAAATATGCATTGGCTAGAAA